GAATGACAAGAGAGGATGATGAGAAAAATCCTAGGAAAGAGAAAAGGCCCTGACCAAGATACTGATGGAAGAGGCCAGACAATGGGCAGAAAATGCACTTGCTTTAAGACATAGAAGGTCATTACCTAATGTTGTCCAGGGAGCCTCAGTTCTGAGAGTTTCAGGTTCAATGTCTGTGACAGGAACTGACCAAAAGCAATACAATGAGCAATGGAGATTAAGAAACACAGGAAAAAATTTACCTTGAAAATAAATCTTCTTAGCTCTGTAATGTTTAAAAAGTAGTGCTGAACTCTGGAAAAATAGTATTTGTTCTCTAATAACTGACAGCACTCTGGTATCCATTTATCTCACAAGATAGTCACACACTTTGCACTTTTGAATCCTTATGAGGCTGAGAAGCTTTTTTTTTTTTTTTTTTTTTTTACTGTGTTTAATTATCTGATTCTAACTATACTAGAAACTTGCCCCTCCCCCCAAAAAAGATAATTAGTCTGATCTCTATATTAAATTACTCTGAAAATTTATTATGAAAACCTCTGTTTGTATCTGAAACCCTTTTATGATCATTATTAATATATGTTTTGAGGAATATTGGTAGTAGGGAGAATTTTTTAAAATCTTAGTCTGTTTATCAGAAATCTGTGTCAGTTATACAAAAGTTAAACTTTTGCCTTTCTCCAGAATAAATGTGATACACTTTTTTACTGTTTCTTATTTATTCATTTACTTCTAATGAATAATTAGGAGATAATTATTTAAGTGAGAAACAGATGATTAAGAAAAATTTCTGAAGAGTAATACTTCAATTTTTTGTCTGGATAAACAGGATGCCTAGAATTCTGTAAAGATTACATTATGCATAGAGATGAAGTTAAGATTTATTAACTCTAGTTTTAAATTAGTCTCTATTTTTTATTAAATTCAGAAGGTTAAATATAACATTAAAACATTTTTATCACTAAAAACCCTGTAAGCAATTATTTGAAGATTGCTTTTTATTGACTGTCTGAGACACATATCACTGAGTTGGGTGAAGCCACATCTGAGAATATTTTCTGAATGAATGGAAAACATGGCAGACAGAAGAGAGGGAGAAAGTGAGAACAACAGGATGAAAACCATATTCAAAACTGACTGCCTTCAAACAAAAAAGGGGGGGTCCTTATTTTGTTTGGAATTCAGCATCTTAAGCTGATTTTTTCAACAGAAAATTGACATTCATCCAAGTTGTATTAATATTTGAATAGTATAGAATCAAGGAAGCAAGAGATTTGTCAAGAAAGGAATAATTATGAATTGCATCAAGCCTCAAACAGCTTTTTCATTGGTCCCCTCCCACATTTATAAATTATACACAAAAAAACAGAGATCTCAACAATTTCTTGGTTTAAAGGATGGATGGAGAGAACCCCTGTGACTCCTGACAACATCAAGTTCTGGAAGCAATGTGAATGCCTCCGAAGGTGACCCCAGGAAGAGTAACACTCATGGGTTGTGAGCTGAGCAGATGCCAGATGGCCTCACCATGTTACAAAGGTCCCTAACAACGTTGGAAATGAATGAAAAAGATGGCGAATAACCGTTTACACAAGGTTCAGACTCAGCAAGCTCAGAGAAACATTGACCACAAAGGAAGACATCCATCATTACCTATGGTTATGGAGGGAGCTCCAGCCTCCGATGTAACAGGCTCAAAGCCTGCAGCACAAAAACAAACAGATAAAAATGATAAAAGCAGTAAGTCTAAACTTTTAGGTGGCCACTGATGCTTAATTCAGAGGCCAGAGAACCTGATATAAATTCAAAAGTAATATAAACTGTCTTCTTGATAGGCTTCATGAGAGATGCTCTTAGTAAGTTAGAGTTTTGTGTACTGATGGGAATCTTAGGAGAAATTTTCAACTGCAAAACAGTTGAATGTTCAGAACTGTTATATAAATATCTCCTTATTTGGGAGGAAGTCGCTTAGGCTTAGTAAATAGTTACTGTTTAAAATGTCAATAAGGTATCTGAGAGGAGGCCAAGCTCTGATTGTGTGCCCATAAAGGAAGAACGCAGTGCCAGTCTCCCAAGTGCTGCCTGGCAGTGGCCGCTCACAGCGCTCTCAGAAATGGTCCAGAAACAGAACACCAGGCTCCCATTCATTACAAACCCAGATTCAGAGAACAACGCCTAAAAATTCCTTAACACGTTAAGCTTCCTGTCAGTCACCAGTGACTGAAATGGAAAGGAAGACAAAACAGGCTTGGTGCTTAACGGGTTAAGCAAACAGTATCTGTCAGTATCAGTTGTAAAATATACTAATTTTCCACACACTGATTTGTTCATTTAACATTTAAACATTAGTATGATTACTTTGAGACAATAATGAACAAAATCAAGATACTTGGGTTTCTATGTTTTATGTGATATAATAAACTGTAAACATTTTCAGCAATATTCTCAAAGAAAGAGCTTCTTAAACTAAAGCATTGGAATTTATGTTTACCGGATTTAGTTGATGGCATATCTGGTTTTGCTGTGGTTTGGGGTTTAGGAAGTAATTGCTTTGGTGGTTTTGAATCTGAAGGAAAAAGGGTGCTATAATTAGTGTCACAGGAGAGCTGTGAATGTCAAGATTAATGTTACTTACACAAATTTTTCCTAGTTATAAATCAAGGCACTGAAAGTAGTGGTTACCAGGCTGGGTTTGAGGTCCGTCTGGTCTGTGTGTGGTTTTAGGTCTTTTGGATGGTTTTGATGCTAAAGAAAAAGGTATTAAATTAGCAAAATGATCAAGGCTAGAACTGTCAGAATTAAGGACACATGTGCTCGAGCAAATATATTATATAATTTCAGTGAATATACAGCAAAATTAGCTCCTAGGTTGTGGGAAGAATGGGAAATATGTCCAAAGAAAAAACTTTTCAGGAAATGTTCAAAACGTGTCTTTGAGCAAAAATAATGAGAACTGTAATAATATTTAGTTTCTACATAAGTAATTTCAAATGTGATAAGTATAATAGTTCTGTTTCTTAATTGATTATATAAAAATAATATGGTAGAAATTTGAAACTTGCTTAGGAGGGGACCTGGGAAATAATCTCTAACACTTGAAATTATATACAACGTTACATGCCTACTGATTTCTGGAATTTTCTAAAGTAAAGTAGTGACAGAATTATTTTGAATGATGAGAACTTACAATGAACTATCACCAACAGCATTAGTACTAAAAACAATAAAACAAGTTTGGGCCTTCTAATATTCTCAAGTTACAGACCATCCAATGTTTATATTGGATCCTAGACCAAGGATAGTATTTGTCCTTTTAGTTATCAAAATATACTCAAACTTTTTCTTCAAAGAAACAAAAAAGCCGAAGAAACCATTATTTCATGCAGCTTTTAAAAGAAAGAATGTCATACAAGCTGAATGAGTAAATCAATGAAATGATAATGAGGGCACTGAAATGAAATGTTGCCATTTGTTAAGTTCAGGATGAGCACAGAAGCGTCTGTCTGGGAGAGTAGATGGTCTTTTCAACACAAGGACACGTGGGATGGAAAGACAGAGGGTTAGTGAGAAACCAGGAAGTTGTGTCTGAGGCCACAGAGCTTCCTTAAACAAGCACACAGGATCCTTCTAAAAGTCTCCTATCTTCAGGTTCTTCAGACCCAGATAGGAAACTGAGGCGACGCATGGAATGAAAACTGTGGTGATCTGGCAGAAATGCAGTCATGCCTGGGTGGATTTTAGGAAAAGCAAAAGTGACGATGTGAGAGCAGTTGGAGGAGAGTAGAATTACCAATTGTGGGCACCCAGAGCTCCGGTTGTACCGTAGCAGGCTGCAGCGCTATAGAAGTGAAACATCAAAAAGAATAATTATATCAAGAAGCAGCATCTTGAGGAAGGAAACATTACTCCTCAATCTTTACTTAACCAGTGTGCTCTATTTGGATGCGATTCTCCCTTTTATTTCCCCCTTTCCCTCATCTTTTCCCTATTGCTTTGCCACATCTTATCTACCATGAATATGCATCCTCCGTAAGATGATAAGAGTGCCCTACTTTAATAATACACTTAGTGAGTCAGTTTATTGCTGTGTGTAAATGTAAATGAAAATATAAATATGTATATTCGTGTAACATGAATATGGAAGGTTACTACAGATACTTAAATATAAATATCAACTATAGTGGTTCCTAAAGTCCATCAACTTAGGTAGGAGGTAGCTACTATATCAGAAGCTATCATATTCCACTTTCTGTGTTAATTGAAACCCTCAACATCACATTTACCGGGTTTGGACTTGGGCACATCTGGACTACGTGTGGTTTTAGGGCGGAAGCGACGACTTGGCCTTTTGGTCTTGGATGGAGCTGAAGAAAGAAAATTAGCTAGTTAATACAGGACAAACAATTTTACATACACCTTAGAAGCACATTGATTTATTGTGAATATGTACCCTTCTGTTTTGCACTTTTCTATCATTAAATAATAAGTGAATATTCAATTATATATTTTTTGGACATTTAAGTGAATCTTCAATTATATTTTTTGGACAAATATTTATAAACAATCACTGTTCAAGAGACCCCCTATTCATCCATTTTGAGATGGAAAATCCAGAACTCTGTGTAGCTTAGAGAAAATAGTCTCATAAAAATTTTGAAAGTGCTTGTTCAATAGGAACATGAGAAAAGTTATGTTTCAAAAGCCACTAGGGATAAAAATTAAAATTTCTTTGGGCTAAGAGTCAAATAAAAAGTTTTGCACTTAGCAGTAAAAAAATCTGCAAATTATCAAGATACAGTTTGAATTCAAAAATTATTTCAGGGAAAGTATATTTTAAAATTGAGATACAGTTGATAAAACTATAGATTAAAAATGTTTCTCTGGGAGTAAGAATAGAAAACACACATAAAAATGAATATTAATGTATTAATCCATTAATTTGAGCCTGTTAATAAAGACACAAGTAGTCAGGAAAAGAGGTCACTCAGTAACTGCATTACCTAATGTTGTTGTTGAAGGTTTGGTTTCCAGTGTTCCAGGTTCTAAAGCTGCATGAAACATCATCAAAAAAGAATCAAGATCAAAGAAAAAATGATTAATATGAAATATTAATGTGAAATAAATATGAAAAATGTTTGATCTTTAATTACTAAGTTGAACAAATATAAATGAAAATTTTAGCCACATGAAAATTCCCTTTTTTTAATTTAAATTTGATCCCTGTGCTTTTAGACAAAATGAACAAAAATATAGCCAGTCAGTTAAGTTTGGAAAGAGAACTGGAAAGAAAAAGGTACCGTTGTTCTTATTTGGAATATGTGAATGCAATAGAGTAACCAACAGTTCGTGTTATGAAGGAAAATATGGGTAATTGGCTAAAATGGTACCAGCAGAACGCAGTATTTGTTCTCTTGAAGAAAAAGAAGCTATAACATTAGGGTTAGTTTTTATATTTCTCTCTTTTATGAATTTCCTAGTGACATATCAGGATATTTAGATCTAGAAAGACCATAATGTATTTCAAGAAAATCTGCAAATGTTAGAGTTTCAAAAGGAAGAAAAACATCTCCAAATGTGAAAGCAAAACATGTCCCTAAGCCATGGTCCTCACCAGATTAAAAGCAGCTGAGGACACATTCCTCTGATATAAGGAAGGACAATAAAGCATGTAAAATAAAAATGAAAAGAATGTGTCAAGTCAAAATCAGTATGGCTTTCATGCTATCTCAGAACCTCTACTTTGTTGAGCATGGGCAGAGAGTTTATCTTCTGGCAAAAATGGCTGAAAGAAAGAGCCAAAAAACAATGAAGGAATAAATTTTTATTTTTTAAATCTCTTTTTAAAAGATATTTGTTATTCATTTTTAGAGAGAAGGAAGAGAGAAGGAGAGAGAGAGAGAGAGAGAGAGAGAGAGAGAGAGAGAGAGAGAGAGAGAGAGAGAGAGAGAGAGAGAGAGAGAGAGAGAAAGAGAGAGAAAGAGAGAGTGAGAGACATTGATGCAAGGCCGCCTGTCCCCTTATCAGGGATCAAACCTATAATTTGGGCTGGTAATTGAACCAGTGATCTCTTTATCTCTTGGTTCATGGGATGATGCCCAACCAACTTAGCCACACCAGCCATGGCAAAATAAATTTCTAAAAAGCCAGAGTTAAGGACAAAGTTCAAGATAGAGGGTATAAAAAAGAGAGATAATTCTTTTTCACTAACTAATAGAAACTTCATTACCTATTGTTGACTGTGATGGTGTTGGAGTCAGAGGTTCAGGGGCTGCAATAAAAGCAAGTATTATCAAAGGCAATGCTGAAGAGCACCATCTAAGACAGAAACTAAATGTTCTTTAGTAGAAAACATATTCTCTCATTGATCAGCAATCAGAGAATTGCTTAACAACCGAAAAGTTCAACCCTCATATCCTCTCTGCAAACCACAATAAAAGTAAGATTGGAGATTTCTGTATTTTTGGTAGGTTTTTAGCTATTGTATTTACTACACAATATTCTGAAAAACATTTCTAGTGCTTGAGGAGATACGGGGGGTCAGGCAGCTCTGAAAGGTTGTGTGGAGCTCTTGTCCATGCAGGACAGTTGGGTTTGTCCAAGGAAGAAGGAACAGACCTGTACCTGTGTCTGAATTCTGTTAATTTTGGATGACTTTCAGCCTGGCTGGACCTGATATTATTTTATAAAAAATAAAAATTAAACTTATGGTCTAAAAAGAACCCAAAGTGCTCATATGATGTTCTCCATGTTTATTAGCATTATTGCTGGTGAACAAATAGGTTTACTTAAACAATTTAGTCCATTTTGGTTAGTAAATCAGCAGAAGTCAAAAGGCAGTCTCAGATTTCATTGAAATGCTGAAAAATTGAATAACAATATCATTTAAATATTCTATCAGATAACAAATCCTCAGTGTCAGTCAAATTGGTAGAGAGAGAGAGAGAGAGAGAGAGAGAGAGAGAGAGAGAGAGAGAGAGAGAGAGAGAGAGAGAGAGAGAGAGAGAGAGAGAGAGAGAGAGAGAGAGAGAGAGAGGTCTAGATAGGAAAAAAATAGTAAGCACCAATACATTAAATATAATAAATATTTTTAAAATATTCACATCTGAAAATAGCCAACAACAAAAATACTTCTGAAACTTTGAGATTGTAATTCATTTTTTTTTTTTTTTTACAAAAGTGCCTTCTAAAAGAGTGAAAAAGTAAGTAAAATTTGCTGCTCACAGCATTTTTACAAAGATTAAAGAATACTGTCTTTTAAGTTTTGTAAAAAAAAATTCTGCATTTTTAAATTTCCTGACAGGCAAAGATTACATAGGTATGTATTTCTATCAATTAAGCTTACAATTCACCTCCATATAAAGAGAGTCAATGTTTATGAAAAACAAAATACATTTCTGATGAGTTCCTCTTTGACACTATTTAGGTGTTGTAGAAAAAGATATAGAAATGTTGCTTAAAACAAAACAAAACTGAGTGGCATGCAAATAACTACACCACTCACACCAACACAAAACAAAGAAATATACAACTTGCTCATGGATTTGTGGCTAGCAATGAAAACAATGTACAATTTCATCCACCACACCTGTAATTAATTGGAAGACTCTCTTTTTGTGTGTGTTAAAAGTTGAAGAGTGGAATGTGAAAGATTAACTGTGAAAGAAACAATTCTAATTGGATGAGGTAGACAAGAAGGGCAGAGTAGATGGCTGGGATTTTCAAGAAAGCTCTGGATCCCTCTTATGAAACAAGCAAAAACCAATGGTGGTTTTTACTTGTTAGTTTAACCACCATGGAAAACCAAAGGAAAAGCAGCCTGCTTGGAAAGTGAAATGGAAAAAAAGAGAGTGAGGAGAGGGCTGGGAAAGGCAATGAATCAACTCAAATCAAAAGCTTTTGGTGGTTTATTTGCTCTCCTGAACCTTGGCTAGAAACAAATTTTCAGCAGTGCTGTAACAGTGGCCTGCCCTAAAGTAAAAATAAATAATTATTTTTAAAATAAAGCTAAAACACAAGTAACAGTTTTCAGACATCTAGTCATTACTCTGTGTTGTGTGTTGCCTCAATGTCAACTTGAGTTGGCATACATTTTGGTGCAGATTCTGAAGTGGCTATACTTGCTACTAGGAGAAAAAATGTGGCTATTCTTAAGTGATTAGGAGGTAGAAATGAAAGGAACATAAACTCATTAAGCTTCCAAATAATTTTCTACACTTTAAAAGGAAATGTCAAATTAAGAAGTTTCTGCTCAAATACCTTAGAATAATAATTACACACCCTCCAATTCTTATTTGTATTAATGTACTTCCTGTCAGAAGACTTTTTAGAAACCACTGAAGTTAATAATGTAAATTACATTGTGTAAATTATAATTAACATTAGGAGACATTTTTTGATGTTTTCACATTTTATTTTGTAATAACAGAAATAATTAGGTTGGAGAAATATTTATTTAAATTTGGTGACCCAAACATACAGTAATGTTTCTCATACAGTCTGTGTGGTAATAATCTTCTATGCTAATATAACATAAATGTAATAGTTACTATCCTAATCTAAAGTCCTCTAAGCATATTTAAAAATAAATGTACATGAAACCCTTCTCTCATATAGCTGTCTGTGTTCTTTGATTTTAAACTTGTAGAGCTCTTGAATGTCATGAGCTATGCCTTTCTCCAAATAGCCTCCCTGAGTAAGAATGCATCATTCCATGTCCTGACTTGGAGACCTCACCCATGGTCACACTCCCCTAATCCCTAATTTTCTTCAGTCTGAGACCTGCACTGCCTCTTTAAAGGCAGTCATTAGAATTTTCTTTTTTTCTGAGCAGTTATTTTTTTCTTCCTTATACATTTCATTGCAAAAAATAAAGTTTGCTCACATAAGAGAAAATAACTTGCTTTAATAACTGTGCTTTGTAAACATAAATTAATGAACACTCCATTGAGCATTACAGTGAGAAATGTATTCTTCCTAGAGCTAAGGGTTTAAAATTTAGATGAAAATGATGGTAGTGACAGATCCATACATATACAATTATGCAAGTCAACATGTAAACTGTTGCATATATTCTGAATATAAAATGATGAAGATTCAATCCTTTAGTATGTCCCACAACCCTTATGTAGGGAATTAACTTTGTCTTAGATTTTACAGAATAACTCCTCCCTATAAAAGAGCCTTCTTTTCTTCAGCAAAACGCCCTTAATATCTCCTGGGAAGAAAACAGAAGTCAGTGTTCAGAAATCAGCCCCAGTAGAGAAAGAAGTCATGGAGCATCAGGGAGACACACACTTATTAGCCTGAAAACCAAGAGGCTTCAAACAAGGCAGAGTTCTTAGGGGATGGAAAGACTCTTCCCTTTCCAGCTGAAAGGCAATTGTTCAGTGTCATAAGAGTGTCAGTCAACGTTGGTACTGGAAACTATTTCATAGTCCTAGACAAGAGAGACCTCAATCATGTACACATTCTATGTCTGTGTTTTCTCTATGAAGGTCATGAACATAATGCTCCTCCAGACAGCTCAGAGCAGCACTGTGATAACATCAGAGGGGCTGGTAATGATGAGAGCATTTCATTGCATTTTTGCATTTTTCAAGGCAAAATGTGTCAAACACCAAAATACAAATCAGAAGTTCTTGCTCCAAAGAGTGGCATAAAATGTTTCAATCTTAGTCTTGGAATATTAAAAAAAAAAAAATCAGGGTAATTACCAGGTTTGATGTGTGTCACTTCTGGACTCAGAGGGATTTTAGGTTTTAAAGAAATAAATTGTGTTTTACTGGGAGCTGGAAAAATAAAGAAACAAAAAGAATCAACAAATCCATTTTTAGACATTTCAGGGTCTGAAACTACAAAGGAAAACCTATACTGTAAGTAGAATGAGCCCATCATCTTGAGATGATAGAAATAGTCCATTAAAAGAGTATTTCATAGAGTAGCATTTAATGGAAATATAGTGATAAGTTTTCATCTGGTTTGAAAAAAAAAGGACATTTATAGAATATATTTGACCTAAAGAAATAGCATTGCTACTAAGTAGTCATAATAACTACACAAAGACAATGTCATTTTAATCCATGCTTTAAAAAAATCAGTGTAATCATTTTGTGCTATTTCATATTTCTCATTTACATCTAAGTTTTTAAGCACCAGAAAAAAGACACATTTTAAAATTAGTATTTACTAATAGGTATAATGCTATGATCTGCAGCATAAAGAAATTCTACTAATACCATAATAGTCATTTTTTCAAATTCAGTCTAAAGTTGAAATTGAGGGCATTACGGAAAACAAACAAACAAACAAAAAAAAAACTGTGTTAAGACCCAACTTCAGATACAATGACTAGATAGAAGATGAAAAAGAAACAGTGGTTTTATATTATAAAAATTATAGCTTCCCAAGGCATAGGATGATGTACAAGGTTCTATTCAGATCCACTTATTATATTATAGGGCCAGCTATCCAAAACCATAAAAGCCATGGTCAATGTACATAAGATACTCAGTACTGCTGCAGTGAGCCCATTAGAATACTGACTGAGACATTACATGAAAGTTGGGTTCCTGGACAGGAAGTAACACATCCACTAAGGACATATCATTACCCAGTGTGGTCCATGTAGGTTCAGGGCTCTTAGAAAGTTTAGAAGTAGTTGTTCCAGGACTTTTGGTTCTTCCTGATGATGGAAAGGGAAAGAGATATTACGATATCCTAGAGACAATAAAAAGATGTCCTCCAGACAAGAACTGAATGGCTTGTTAAAATCCTGCCACAATTAGTAGTCAGTGCTTATAAAGTATGCAGTGAGTAAAAGTTTTGGAAAAGAATTTTCAAACTCAATCAAAATAATATAGACCATAATAAAACCACTGCACTTATATTACAATGGACTAAGCAAAATCCAGTTGTTCAGTAGGATTCTGAGTGTGTTATTTGACAATGAAGAAAATCACCTCCAGGCTGTGCCTCAAAATAATCTTGTTCCCCACTCCTTTTTCCTTTGTCCAAATCCTACACAGATTTTGAGGCTTGCATCCTTAACTCTTGCTTTCTTTTTCTGACCTTCTACATGAGTATTAGCCTCACAAGTAGATAATATGATCTTATGTTGTTCTCTCCTTGTTTATGATACACTAGTAGCCCTGTGCATGAACCTGTGCGTGAGTAGCTTGCTGCCACTTGCCTCAGCTGGCCACCTGCCCACCACCCCTGGTAACTCTCTGTTGCTTGTAGCTTGCTGCCCCACCCTCCTGGAGCTTCTGTCCCTTCCCCCCCATAGCTTGCTGCCCTGCCCCCTCCTGTAGCTTTTATCCACCCACTTGTAGTTTGCTGCCCCACCCTCCTGCAGATCCATGATCTGGTAGTTACAGAGTTGGTTGTTACCTCTCAAGGCATAATGGATAATTAGCATATTCCTCTCTTGTTATATAGGATTATCTTTATAAGATCATAAGCAATTGGAAAACTGGGATCATGTTCTTTCCATCTCAGACATTGCCCTAGTGAAAAACTGAAAGCATAATAGGCATCAAAACCCAAGAACAGTCACCTTATAAATACTTAAATAGAGATGGCATACCAAGAAAAAGAATTATACTATACTAGACTCCCAGTGCATGAAATTTGTGCATGAGGAGGGAGGATACGGGGGAGGGAGGGAGGGATGTCCCTCAACCTAGCCTTTACCCTCTCCAATCCAGGATATCCTTCTCACAAGGCTCCTAACCACATGCCTGCCTGCCTGATTGCCCCTAACTACCTCTGCCTGCCAGCCAGATTGCCCCCTAATTGCTCCCCTGCCAGCCTGATAGCCCCCAACTGCCCTTCCATGCTGGCCTGATCATTCCCAACTGGCCTCTCCTGTTAGCCTGATAGCCCTCTAACTGCCCTCCCCTGCCAGCCTGATCACCCTAACCACCTCTGCCTTGGCCACTGTGGCTTTGTCTGGAAGGAAGTTGGACATCCAAAAGATATTAGGTTGACCCAGTCTAATTAGTATATTACCCTTTTATTAGTATAGATATCTCATTCTATCATGTTGTGATAGCAAGACTTTTGTCTAGATTTTTACCAAAATTCACATGCAAGAACATCACTTACATAATTTTTAATAAAAGTTTATCAGAAATTAATGACTCTTGTTATTCATTTTCATTAATTTTTCATCTTCAGTTAACTTCAAATTTTGTAAAGAAACTTTAACCCATGGAATCATGTCATTTATTTTATGGCAAAGAGATGGATATTATCTATTTGAAATTAAATATCCTGAAAGGTTAAAGAGACATTTGTTTACCAGGCTTGGTTCTTGGTGGTTTGGGCCTGCGGTGTCTTGTAGATGTAGTTTGCAGGGGAGCTGAAAGAAGATTTAAAATGGCTTCCATAAATGATTTTCTTCAGGGGTGGATCAGGCTGGAAGTGCAAACTTGTAAACTTCTTGAGTGCAAGAACTGCTTTATGTTTCTTTGTGTCCCTGGAATGCCCAACACTGCTTTACTCACAGCAGGTGCTCAATAAAAGTGCTGATTGGGCCAAAGGAATTAATTTTCTATGCGAGAACTCTTCAATTAAATGTACTGCAAAGTGAGCACCTTTGAAGAATTTGAGAACACATGATATAGCTTAAGAACTCAAAAGATGATTTACCAAACAGCTGGGGAGAAACACAAATAAACTATTTGGGTTTTAGAGAATAGAAAGTTCAGGACTTCCTTAATTCTGTAGCATTTTACGAACCTCACCAGGAACTAATGAACTTCATTATTCCATTAATTTCAAAAATGTAGGCTGTGTTACCTTTCTTTTGCCTGTTTTTCTTCATCATGCTCAGGACTGCAGAGCTCTCTTGGGCTCTTTATACTTGGACTATTTTGAGAAAAATTCTCTGACCTCATGGTATGGGAGTGTGCTAATTAGGAGGGAATATATTTAAAATAATTATCATCTATAATACTGCTGCTATTTTCTGGTTGGAGAATTTGAAAGTATAGCCCAAAAAATAATAATTCTTCACAATATCTACACAACTTCATGGCAGGGAATGAAGAGAAGTGTCTACCACTGAAAATATTCTGAAAGGAGCAACATGACTGATTTTTTTGGGGGTTAATTGACCTGTTCTTTGAAAGTAAACAACTATACAAATGTCATTAGTTACCAGGTGTTGTAGGTTGCATTTCAGGGCTGGTAATGATTTCTAGTTTTTGAGGAATAAATGCCGTTTCACTTGGAGCTGAAAATACAAACACCCCATCCCACCAAATAGTTCCAGTTAAAATGAGGTATTTTAAGAGTTTTTCACATGCTTTTAGCAGATGTTACAAAGCACATGCTACAGTACACGATTAAGGATGAAAATGCAGGTAGTCTTCAAAGCTGATGAATAAAATAACAATGTAAAGTCAGGGAAGGTTGGGGTGATAATTGTTCAGTAGCTGACTCCAGGCAGACTCAATGCATGAAAGAGAGGTGATACAGGCCACAAACACATGAGATGGGTGAGATGGATGATGAGAGTATCCATGCAGTTTTCAAAAACTTTTCATTCCTTTAGGATGGAAAAATATCATCTATTACAGTAAAAGAGAAAAAGAGACCAAAATGGAACATGAGATGCCTACATCACAGGGAAAAAAAAGTATATATATATTCAGAAATAGGAAAGAAATAAATGATTAGATGTGATGGAAAGAAATGGTCATTTGGAAGGAAGCCATTCACATGGATTTTTCTTTTGATGGAAAACAAAGCATGATTTTTCTGTTAAAAACATTACCCAGTGTTGCCCTTGGCTGTTCAAGAGTTCTAGAAGTTTTAGGTGGGACAGAATCCAGAAATGGATCCCTTGTTGCTGTTGGAATAAATGTCAACATTTACAAAAGCAGTAGAAGGCCTAAGGAATAAAATATAAATTCAAGAGTAATAAATTTTGCCCCATATAGGAAAAAACATAAAGAACACTTGAGAGATTTCTGACCAACATTTTTAAATGAGCGATTCATTAGAATTTAAATAAGAGCTCACTTTAAAGAACGTATGTATTTTAAACATCAGAAAGCATGATAAAAAACAGTGTCTCATATATTCAACTTATTTTCAACAGACTTTGCTGGCTTCTTCTCTCTCTTTCTTAACTACTAATTGGACCCACCTTTAGCATTCTATTTCACTTTTTAAATTTTTCTGCTATTTAAACTTATTTTTTTATTTATGACACAAATAATACTGAGATGAGGCTACACAGAGTAAGTCTCAGACATATATGCATGCCTGGCAGAGACCAGTCTTACTCACTTTAAATGTTCTGCAGGACCTAGCTTAGTAGGTGCTTAATAAACATTTGCCAAGAGGAACTATTGGACTGAGTTAAATTTACTGTAGCTGCATCAGTAAGTGTATGCCAAAAATCATATCCACCTGAACTGCTATCCTATATAACAAAAGGCTAATATGCAAATTGTCCTCTGGATCGGGAGTTCAACTAGGAGTTTGACCAAGGGCTGGGCCAGTAGCCAACCGCCAGCGACCCCTCCCCCTGATCAGCCTGGCCCCATAGGCCCCGATTGGGGTAGGCTGGAGTACTCCACCCTGCCCCAATCATGCATGAATTCGTGCACCAGGCTTCTAGTAGATAAATGAATAGCATAATTGCCCCATAGCACTATTTCTCACCTCAGCATTATTGACATTTAGGGCTGGGTGATTCTTTGTTGTAGGGGCCTGTTCTTTGCATTGTAGGGGTTTAGCAGCATCCATCACCCCTACTCACTGGATGTGTCAGTAGCACCTCCTCCAGCTGTGACAAACAAAAAATGTCTCTAGACATTTCCAAATCCGCTGGGGATAGGGGAAAGCAAAATCACCCCACTGGAGAACCACTGCTCCAGAGAAAACTCTGTAGGATCCTAAAACTTTTTTAGAATGATTCTGAGCAACAAAGCAATAGGTCATTGCCTTACTTTGCCTCAGAAGCAACCAAACCTATCTGCATCTCCCACTTGTGGGAGCCTGTTTACCAATGGAGGTAAACAAGTCATCACTCAGTGGAAGGAGAGGGTAACATCGTCTCCCTGACACAGACTGCTATTTCTTTTGCTGCAGAGCTCTGGAGAGTGTACTATTTCATCAGCAGTATTGTCAGAACACATGGAATCTGAGGAAAGAATTGAGAGGTTGGGTACCTGTGTGGGGCTCTGATATTTCAGGCTCATCTGGCGTCGTAGGGCTTGAGAAAACCTCATAAGCTGCTTTCAAGGAAAAGGTAAAAAAAAAAAGAGATAATGTTAATTTTGACTGAAAAGATTTCACGACATATTTTAATAATTGTCATGTCACTACAGTGTCAGCAGTCATTAACGCTTGCCTGTAGTCCCTCTTGCCCTGAACTAAAGGTCTCTGTGCAGCGAGCCTGGACACCGGCCTCCGGGCTGGTGTGCCCATAGTGCTGTGTATTTACAGTAAAGTGGTGCCAGCTCTAAATCAAGGAGCTTCCAAGAATATAAATGTAAACGAAGTCAGATGGGAGAGATTTCCAAAGAAGGAAACAACATTCACACAGAGACTCTTTGCACAAAGTCTACTGCTTCATCCTTCTACTTAGTAAACATTTACATCATGCTACCTTAACATTTGGACAGCACTTTACAATCTGCACAGCGCTGTTTCTGATATACGTTTATTTAACTGTCTTAACATCCCTGAGAAATAGGTGCGATAGACTTTATCCCACTTCTTAGATAAAGGGATATTATCTCCATTTCCTAGATAATGCAGTGGAGAGTCACAGTGGTGATACATTTGCCAGTGGTCACACATGGGATTGTCCAGTTCAGCATATTTTTCACTGTATTCACAGGGCCAGGAATGGCGGTGCTAAGACCCAGCACTCTGTCTCTTGCACTACTGCTCCTGCCTCTTTACCTGGAGGCAGCCTTCTTCCTCTGTTTCTCCATTAAGCTAGGAACCTCTCTATAATCGAGGTGAACTTAAAGATAAAATTTATATTCTACAGGAAATAAAGAGAGCAGGGTGATCTTAAAAACAAAGGCTGGTTTTAAAACAAGGGTCATCTTCATGTTCACATAAGAGTTGAATCTATAAGCAAAAACAGGACCAAAATACAAATGTCCTCTCTTCTGCACCAAGAGCTGTCACAACAATAATGACAGGTGTACAGAACCTTGAATTGTGAGGTAGACTTTCCTTGTCCCTTCACAAAGGCTGTACAGATGTACAGAAATAAACTAGAAGATGGGGGAGGGGGAGCTCATGGGGACTGGTCAATCAGTGACAGTGTAATGATTTGAACCACCGCTAGTTGACGCTAAAAGGTAATATCAGACCCTGTGATACACCCTGATATTCGGATTGGACAGTTTATATTTACCACATACTAAACAGGCAGGAGATACATTTCAGCTTGTGAAAGTGAGTCTATTGCTTTGCAAAATCTTAAAACATACACACATACACACACACACACACACACACAAATAAACAACCGGTAAGAACAACACTCAGAATATTATGAGTTAAAATGTGCAAACATTCTGACTGTAAATACATTATGTCATGATGTAAAGTTCTCTTTAGGTTAGCTACAACTTTAAAGGGTCAGAGGAGAAAGACTAATCTTTTAAAGGACAGAAAAGTTGGCTTATGCTGATCTTTGTCTTGCTTTAAGCCAATTTCATGGAACCATAAAAGGCAGCTCTATCTACTACTAAATAAAGTAAGAAACCTTGACCAACTTGTATTTCACCCTCTCATACTAGGAAAGAAATTATGAATTAATATCTTGACTTATTTATATTGTTACTTTTGAAATATACAACTGTCTTAGTTATCCTAAGTCCCACATTTTCCTTTTCTCTAGTGATACCGGCCCTCCTTTCTTATAGTCTACAATTTTGTCCCATAGGTCGATGCTTATTCACCCTCTGTCTATTTCTTTTCCATACTTGCAATTTCCTTCTAGCCTGGCGTTCCCAAGCCTGGCTGCCGCCTTCCTTGGCTTGTTCTCAGAAGGCTCTCCACTGGGGAGGAAGCCCCCTCCCATCATTTCTGGGCAACAGTGGCCCCCGTCTGGAAGTTCTCAATGGTCAAACCTCTTCCTTCCAAACATTTTCTCAAATATGCTCCAAGATGAAAACAACACATTTGCCAACAGACTTGGCCCTTCGTATTTCTATTTCTGGAGTTTTTGAGAATTGAATAGTAAATAAGAGGAGTGCTAAAATCACACAAATACCATTTGGTGGAAGTTTTGCTTTGTGTGGGCTGCCTTGAGAAGCACACCACCACCTCAGTTCATTCAGGGCTTAAACAATTTTTTTTTTACTCTGAAGTAAGAGATGTCAGAGGAGAGGACAGTATTGAAATGGAGGTCCCTAAAAACCAACTGCTCTTGCTTTCATTACAAAACTCTTATATGTGTACTTCTATGTCAGAGTAAAATGCATGACATGGTCAAACACTTCAGGTTTTTAAAAGGCTACACAACTGATAAATCGTTAAGAATTAGGGGTGAATCCTTCTGTGTTTTAGACACTCTGTTCTATGATGCATTATTGTGTAGAGGCAAATATCTTGCCACCAATGTTTACTTAGTGGGCGAAATACTTCAACCATCTGGCATTAAGCACTATCTCTCACCTATAAATGAGACCAAAGGTTGGAGGAGAAATCTAATGTGAGTTTAATGAGTAGTTCAATTTAAATATTACAACGAACAATATTAGTTTCTTTCAGAATACAGTAATGACTTATGATCATGACAGCTAAGTTCTACTCTTCTACTTTTCAGATAAAAATATTGTAGTGTGAGATAAGCCACACTACCATTTTCTCATAACTTTCTAAAACCATATTGTTAATTGTGTTTTGTTATTTGTATGTTTTTACTTTAAAAAACTGATTAGATGAAAATTCCATAATAAAATGTTCTTATCTTGCTCTGGAAACATACCATGGCTACACTGACAAGGTATTTCCAATTATCAAGAATTTATCAGTTTGTTTTATTCAAATAGCATGAATATGAATAACTATGTGAAAAACCGTCATTAGTAAGATAGAAATTGTGACTATCATGCTCATGTGCTCCAAGATTATTTCCCCAAAGTCTTATACAAAGCAGAGACTAAACAGAATTAAGGTACAGATGCCCATTACAATGAACAAGTAACAATGAGTTTGACAGTTGGGTAGCTTATGCTCTTAGTACAGATGAGTGAGAATAAGTGAACAGGTCCTTTAATTACTCTATGATACACACACATGTGCATACAAATCTCATTCTCGACTACACAATCATGTGCCATGTGCTTTTTGGCCATACCCTGCCATGGAAATAGGATCATAAGAACATATATGAAGAGGCAATGAGATATATGCACCCCTATGTTCATAGAAACACACTTTACAATAGCTAAGATTTGGAAACAGCCTAAGTGTCCATCAGCAGATGAGTGGATTAGGAAACTGTGCTACATCTACACAATGGAATACTATGCTGCTATAAAAAGAAAGATTTTTTGCCATTTGCAACAGCATGGATGGAACTGGAGAGAATTATGCTAAGCAAAATAAGCTAGTCAGAGAAAGATAAAATATCACATGATCTCACTCATTTGTGGAATATAATGAACAACATAAACTGATGAATAAAAATAGAATCAGAATCATAGAAACATCGAACAGACTGTCCAACCATAGAGGGAAGATGGAGGGTGAGGGGGTAAAAGATCAACCAAAGGACTTGTATGCATGCATATGAGGATAACCAATAGATACCGACAGTAGGGGAGTGAGTGCATGGGCTGGGGGTGGGGTGGCTGAGGTGAGGTCAATAGGGGAAAAAGGAGACTTATGTAATACTTTAAACAATAAAGATTTTTTTTTTTTAAAGAGGCAATGGGAAAATACAACAGGATTATTTAAAAAAAAAAACCAGCTGATGAGAAAAACATTTATAAACACCACACACAGAGTTATCATTATTTCAATAAAGAAATAATGCTTTTTAATTCACAGGAAAATAAAATACTTTTTTGATTAATCCTGAAATTTGTGAAAATACAGTCTGAAAAAAAAAACTGCTCATGAAGTAAAGTCAAAGGCTGAGGTTATAAATCTTTAAGAGGCCACAGGAAATCTATAAACCATCTACTACACGTGAATTCTGTTTTCCTGCCTTTGAAGCATCACCACCACCACTCATTCCTACTTTTTCTTCTCTCTAGGGCTTAATTAAGGTGGGTGGACCAGAACTACAATAATCAACACCTGACCAGTGGGCAATAAGATGCAAATGTAGAGTTCAACCTCTTTTCAGCCACCCTGAGCAAACCACCTGGGTCAAAATGTTCTATCCAGCATAGGGCTCCTCAGGCACACTGACCAGTTCAACTTTCAAACCTTTAGGTAATTGAAGGAGCTTAAGGGCATTTAGCAATTTACTACAGCTCTAAAAAATACTGAAAGAATTAAACTTTGAAAATACTTGGTGATAAACAAAGGTAGCTAGCTCTCTTTAATGGAGTCTAATGAAAAGATTGAGGTCTACCATCCTCAGTTCAGAATATAAAAAGAAGCCCTTAAAGATAACTATTTATTGTCCAAGGGGAAATAATTTTGCCAGAAGAAGTCACTGTCTTAGTCACAGTACAATTGAGGAGAAAATCAGTTTGTCTGGACATAGTTGGGGAAGAACAGACAAGAGAATTTTCTAAAGATGAATCACCCTGGGATTATTATTTTTTTTTTAAATATTTTATTTGGGCTTTAAATTCCTCAAAGTACTACCCTGTTTCTCCAAAAATAAGACAGTGTCATATTAATTTTTGCTCCCAAAGATGCGCTAGGTCTTATTTTCAGGGGATGTCTTATTTTTCCATGAAGAAGAATATGGTACACATTTATTGTTAAATGAAAATAAAGGAAATTTATTATCTGTATATGGTACGGTAGTATGGTAGTTGTCAACACAAACCAGACAAACTGTGAATCAAGAATTTACTCATTTATTCAATGACAATCATGTCATCATCTTCTGGAACATCATAATAACAATCCAATTCCTGAATTTCCTGGTGAATTTCTTGTGACTCCATTTCTTTCAGAATCAGTGGACCAAATCTCACATATTTAGCAATAGCATTCTGAGACAGAGCTAGGGGGGCCTTATTTTCAGGGGATGCCTTATAGTTCACTCAGAAGGAAATCTGTAAATAGGTCTTATTTTCGG